CATTCCTGCAGCTATGTAGTGTCTATAACACAGTTAGGATATATTTGAGGAGTGGAAGATTTATCCCGACATCCTACTCACACAAAATTAAGCCATGCTCCCTCTTCTCTACAACAGGAGGAGAGTGCTTTTTGCCTTGAAGATTTATTGAATTAGTCCTCATTAAAAATTATGTGAAAACAAACATTTTTTATGTAGAAAATACTCAAAAGTTAGAAAATGTTCCTGTGAAGGTTGGTCGCAATCTATCAGATGATTTTTCCAGTTTTGTCGCTTTTCCAACATAAATAATTTAATTTCCCCCCTTTTTCTTTTTTTGCCTAGTGCCATTGACCGTTATAATAGGCTTTAGTGATATTCACTGTCTGTTTAGATACAGATTAAATTGGGTTCTGTTGATACAGGTTGCCTTCACAAGGTTAATTTTGACAAGTTGCACAGAAAGTCACAGATTTGTTTAAGTAGAAGTTAGGAGATGGCTTCTTTTTTCCTAAATTCAAAACAATTATTTATCTGTCAGAAACAAGATGGGATTGAAATCTTCTGTTTGGGAAACTCTAGTAGACCACCAATTAAGAATGCTTTTTACTTCTTATTCTTACTCGTTTTCCTGTTGGGTTCCAACATGTTTTTTAACCTCATAAAATTCTATCATGATATATAAAATTATTGTGTATAAACACTGCTAGGTTCATATTATTATTTTATTTAATTTTGCACCATAAACCGACCAATATCAGCCCTAGTTCTAGCAAATCACACAAGCATCCTAATTTCATAAATATTCTGTCCTGATTTTCCTTTTTAAGGCATGAGAATGGCCACTGAAACTTTTTTGGGTAGTAGGGTAATGCCTATTGAACCATTGGCTAAAAGTACAATAAACAGAAGTAGACTTTTTGGGCCTGGATATCCCTTGCTTAAACTTTGTGGTGTTAAAACACTTAATAAAGTGATCCATGTGATTACAGAAAGCATTTTAAGAGGATTTTGCTTCATGATAGTTACTGAATGAGTTAGCTGAACACTCTCCTAATGTTCAGTAGATAATCTCAAGCCATATTCATGAGATGCCGTCTAATACTTACAGTAAATATACAACTAGGCATTTTCTCATCCTCTTTTCCAAGCCATGCAATCTGAGACCTTACAAACATCAGTGCCTTTCTGCTCCAAGTGCTATTGAGAAGCAAAACGGCATCTGTACTCCCCTTTTCTGAATAGAGAAACTAAGTCACAGATAAGATGATTAGCCTGCAGACAGACAGTGAATTGATGGCAGGGGAAACGTCCATGCCACAGACTGTTGAGTGGTTTGAGATAAATGAGCCGGCATTAATGAGAAAACTCAAGATCTGCCAACAGGCCCACCACAACAGCTTGGAGTGCAGAATAGGCAGATTTTCCCCTGATAATGGGAAGATCTTGCTAAAGACAGTTTTATTCCTTACGGATTGTGGTTTGTCTTTTGGACCTGGAAAGATGTGGGAGTCCTGTGCAAAACATGATGACACCTGACAGTTTCAGTGAAAGCTGTAGGATGATTCATGCAACAGAGAAGCAGGAGCAGGACCATAGGAGAAAACGCTTGGCATTTCCTGATTTTTAGAGTTGGACTTGCTGGTGCCTAAGCAAGCCCTTTCTTATCAGAGGTGCACAGTGATAGCGTGAGGGGCAATGGGCACGAGTTGGAGCATGGGAAATTCTGATCTGACACATTGGAAAATGTTTCCACCATGAGGGTGGTTGGACACTGGAACAAGGTGTCTGGTGAGGCTGTGGGGTTTTCATCCATGGAGATGGTCTGAACTTGGGCAGACATGGACCTGGCCCAGCTTTGAGCAGGGGGTTGGGCTAAATGACCTCTACATATCCCTTCAAGCTTAATTTCTTATAGTTACCTTGGTTCTTTTTCTTAGCAAATTTAAACAAGTTCAGTTGTACACAGCTGAGATGCACCTCATGTTACATTAGCAATTTTAATTTTTTGTTGGTCTTAAATTGTGTTTTCCCCTTTGAAAAGATTTTACAAATTTTTAGTTTTCATCCTGTGCATTAAAGCATTATAGCTGTCTCTGATCAAAGTTACTACATACACTTTTATTGCACAAGATCACACATTGTCTGAAGAATTCAGCCTTTGCACAGCATTTTAGATTTGTATCTTCATATTGTTTGATTTCTCAGAAACATTATCTATCTAAACCAGAAGTGGTTACAATGCATAGTAAATTGAATGCAAAAATACAAACAACTTTATCATTTCCACTACATCTGCAAAAATTTTCAATGTTGATTTTAAGTGGACTGACTGAGACAAGGAAATAAAGTCTGAGGAGTTGGTTGTCATAAACAACATGCCATACATAGAAAATTAATGTTCAGCTGTATGCAAATCAGCGCATTATTTCTTTATATAAATGCAAAAATAAATCATGTTGAAGAAACATCACAGAAATTTATTTCCCTTTTTTTTTTCCTTTCCTCATACAACTTATTTTAAAAATATGTTAGTTTATGGGCAGGCTTTTCAAAAGCAGAGAAAATGACTTGTGGATGCACTAGTCTAAGGTTGCATAAAGGCACACTGTGCCATATTGTCCATACAGTGGTTTTCTGTAGGTCTGAGGTAACAAGATGCAGACAACAGGTGAATTGGACGTGATTTTTTTTTTCCCCTTTAGCAACAAAACTCAAACTTAGGTTGTATATGTCTTGGGAAAAGCTGCTGCCTAAGACCAATGGGTCAGTACCTCCTTTTCTACCCTGCCCATCAAAATGTCTCTCTGGCCAGAATTTTCCTCTGCTGTGTTGTAAAGACAACATATTACAGGTAATGTTGCAAAATGTGTAGCAGGGGAGTAAAAAAGGACACATGAGGTTGGTATATTTAAACTTTTGTGTGGGATACTGGCCAGAAGCCTAAAGACATAGGGATAGGACTGTGATGTGTGTTTTCTGCTGGAATTTTGAACTGGAAATGAAGTCGGGTTGAGAAGTGGAGGCGGTAGCACAAAGCTTGGGGCCACGTAGAGCTGGTGGTGTAAATCCCATAGAGCACCAACCCAAACACATACAGTTTGCTGTTGATATACTCTGGGGTAACCAGACTGCAGCTTTTTCATAGTACACATTGGACTTCTCAGTTATCCTGATTGTTTATATGATAAAGATAAACACATCATCCTATCAGTACACAATCAGAGGACGGTATATCGATAATAGTGAAACACTTAAAATAATACAGTAAACAAGTGAAAATAGATGTTCTTGTAAAATCATTTTCATCAGCGTAGCACTTTATCAGCTCTTCAATGAAAGCAGTTTATATAAATATTTGTAGTACTGTGGTGTCTATTAAGGACTTCAAGTGATTCTTTTTTTTTGATCTCAGATAAATAATGTCCAATGTAATTTGTATAAAGCTTCTAACCAACATGATGCCTTAGTTTACTGCATATGATTGAAACAAAAACTATTATTTACAGTCCTTTGAGAGCTGAATAACTTTTTTCTTTTTTCTATTTTCTTTTCTTTTCTTCTACA